ATCTCCAGCAAATCCAGCTGCATGATAACAAACTTTTTCAAAACTATTTTTTAATTATTTAAATAATATCCGCAATAAATAGACTTACTAAACATTTTGTAAAGTACAACTTCCCGAACACCAAATTCCCTTAGCCGGATCTCCCAAAATTAAATTTTGTACACTTCCACCATCTTCAATTATTATTATATGTTTTCCGTTCACAGATCCATCAATCGAACAAGAACTTCTTAAAGCATTTGTAGAAACCAAACGAGCATATTCAAAATTAACAGTGCCTTTGACTGTGCTAAATTTTTGAAGATTGTTAAGTTATTACTTCACCGTCCGGGAGGTAATAAATGAACTTTATTAAATAAAATAATCCCAAGTAGGGAAAAATAATTTCTAAAGTGTCTCCTCTTCTTGTTGATTTATAGAGTTCCAAATCGGAACTCAGGGAGGCGATTTAACTAAAGCGATGTTAGTACGTATAATTTCTTAATTTCAACAGTGCCTATAGTCTTATAGATTATTAAATAATTTTCAAGTAATCATTTATTATTTTCTAATAATTTTCACAGCTTAAGTAATTCAAATATTTTTTTAAAAACATTCGGTTAATGTCCCAAAAGATTTATAATTTATTCGAACTTAGTATACTAAATTTACTTTATCTTTTTGACTATTTAAAATAAATTATTCTGTTAAAAAACTCTCAAAATAAATTTATTTGTTAAATTAATTTAAAATCGATCAGTAAAAATTTTTAATTATACATTGGTGAGGAGACAGAAGTTGTATTTTTAGCGTTAGGGAATTTACAATAACCAGTAGAATTAACAAAATTATAAAAATTAATTAAAATAATCAAAAATAAATTAAATTTTAATAAATAATTAAACATTTTTTTTAATTTTTAATTTAAATTTAATATTTTTAATTAAATTTAAAAACAAATCTCCCTATTTATATTCACTTTTAATTTGACAATTTAATTTTTTATATTAATTTCTAAGGGTAGTACAATGTACTTAAAACAAAAGAATTGTTTAAATAAAAGGATTTTTTATAATAATAAAATTTAATTTTATGAACTTTATTTTTTAAACACAAAAATAACCTAAACAAATAAAAGGTATTTAATTTTCTTTTAATTTTAAATATTTAAAATCCAATATTTTAATATTTATTAAGCATCCAAAAGGATAATCAGTGCTTTTATGTTAATATACTTTTTTGTTTAAACCGAAATTGACTCAAAATAAACAAAAATACCAATCACTTACGAACAAGAATGGAAGAATTTTGACTTTCTGTGCTAATTAAACTCCCAAAATTTCTCCTTCGGCTTATTAATCCAAAATTTCCAAAATTTTTCTCAAATAGAAAGAAAAAACCTTCAATATAGAAAGAGTTGGCAAAAGTTTAGCCAACGGGCAGGATTCGAACGCTGATAGAGATTGCTCGGCCTTGCTCACACAAATGCAGGTTGTCTACCACCGACAAATGAGCAACCGGGCATCGACTAATGTTTACTCTTTTATCCTTTTAAGAGAGAAACCCCCTACGCCTAAGCGTTTTAACTGTTCTAGGTGAATCAACATTACATTATCTCTAAAAAATATAGAATTATTTTATATATTTAATTTATAAATTATTTAGTAAATAACTAAATTAAAATTCAATAATATACATATTCGAATATTTGAAATTTAAAAAAATTATTATTTTCCCAAATAAATACAAAAACATTTAAATTTAAAAAATTACTCTAAATTAATTTCTATCATTTTATTCCACAATTTCCAATCTCTTTCTGCGAGAATATTTTTTACATCTTCTGATAAATTTTTAACTGAATTATTCCAATGATTTTTAGAACAAAAATGAAGAGAAGAAAATATAATTGGAGTTATTTCATTGCTACATTCTTTAAATAAATATTTAATTTTTCCTTCCTCCTTCCAAAGTTGGAGAGCAGTTGAAGAAATCTAAAAAGAAATTTTAAGAGATTAAATAAATTATGTAAGACGAAAGGTGTAATCCTTGAGAAACTAATGAAAATCCCGCCTAGAGAGAAGGTGCATTTAAGCTAAAGGAAAATAAGGAAAATTAGCTTAGTTGATGTTCATTCCAACTTACTTAGCCTTATGTTCGGTCGGCTATAAGCTTGACCAGGTGGTTAACAATATCATTCACCCCGCTCGCTTGCGTTACCTCTGAAAACTTTATTCATCGCAAGCATTACCATCAACACCTCTCTTAATTAGGTTGGCCCCTCTAATTAAATAATAGAGTAAATATAACTTTGTAATGATTGCTTTCAATACATTTAGAAATTTGTGAAAATAATTGTGGAATAATTTTTTTAAATTGTTCCAATTCTGTTTTTGACAAAATAATTTTAATTTCATCCAAAAATTTAATCTAAAAAATTAATTAAATTAGAATCTCCGTTTAAAATAAATATAATTTAAATTACTTGTTTATTCGAATTCTCATTTGGCCAATATTTCAGAATAATTAAAATTAATTTGTGTATTAATGATTGGTCCATTTCTATATATCTAACCACCAATTCTGTTAACTTTAAAAAGGAAAATATTTTTTTAATTTATTTATTTTTTTAAATTAAACTTTTTCTGAGTAGAGATTAAAATAATTTATTGGTTTGTGAAGTGGAAGTAAAATTTTAATAAATAATTCTTTTTGTTCCATTTTTAAAGGCATTTTGAATACATCGATAATACTGAAAATTTTGTCATAGAAAATATAAAATTTTGTAAAATTTCAATTACAATGACTAGAATGTTTAATTTGTTAATTAAAGACTTGTTAAAGCATATAGCTATTTATTCCTAAGGCTGTGCAGTAGGCGGCATGGTGTAAAAGATAACACATCAGTCTGGTCTACTGAAGATCCTGGTTCACACCCAGCCGCCGATTAACCTTTTGCACTAGCTGAGGAGAGAAATAGCTATAGCCCAGCTGTTTTACTATTATAAATTTTCATAGATTATTTTTGCCAAGGATGGCAGAAGAAGTATCGGGAAACTACTTAGGTTCTTAGTTCATATAATTTTTTAAAAGTTCATTTCTACCTATTAAAGACTTCCAATAATTCTTTAATAAAAATAAATTTTTGGTTAATAATTAAATTATCTTCATAAATAAAATTAAATATTAAATAATTAATTTGTTTTTTAATGAAAATACGAAGACTAATAAATTTTGAATAAATTCTTTTGAGAATCTAGATAATTAAAATAATATTAAAAATATTATTTACTTAATTAACCTTAGCTAATTGCTCTCTTTCTCGACAATCTTCAGAATAAAAAAGAGAAAATATTTTCTCAACAAATCCCTCATCCACAAATTTTTTACCCAAAGTAATTCGAAAATTTGTAGATTCAATAAATTTAATAAAAATTGTGTAGATTAACTTAAAAATAAATATTTAATTTTTTAAATTAAATTTTAATTGCCTCCAAATGTTCCCAAGCAGGATCTGGACAATTAACAGAATCCTCATCTTCTTCCTCATAATTATTTATTAAAAATATATTTTTATCAAAATTTAATTCTTCTTCATTTGGAGGCAAATCTCTAACTACATTTTTGTTAAATAATTCAAAAATTTCAAAATAAATTTTTTCTGAATTCCAAATATTATTATTATTATTTTCAGTAAACAAAAAATCAAAAATTTCAATTAAAGTTAACTTTTTTGCCTGAAAATTATTTTCTTTTTTAATTTTTTAGATTAAAAATTATTTACTTCTTTAGTAGCTAATTGAGCATTTAAAACATAAAAATTACAAACTTTTTTACAAATATTTATTTTTAATAAAACTAAATTTAATTTATCTTCAAGTTTATTTGTATCTAAAGAAATAAATATTCTTTTTAATTTTAATTTATATAGGAATACTTTTAATTTTTGGAAGATTATTTATTTCGTCATCAAATTCATTAATTTCTCCAATATTTTTGTTATAAGAATTAAAATTATTTTTAGATAAAACAATTCCATCAACATTTAATCTTTGTTTTCTGAAAAGTTAAAAAAAAGATTAAAATAAATTAAATAAAATTTTAACATTTCTTTATCGCTTGTAGTAGAAGAGCAGGGCAGATTACAGTCATTACCGCAAGTTTTGTCTTCTATATTTTTGAGAAATATTTAAAAGAAAATTAATGAAAAAAATTCTTAAATGAGAAGACTTTAATTACTTCCATTTCCAACCTATTTAAATTTTAAATTGCAAAAAAGTCAACAATACCTAATCCATATTTGGTGACCATCTCCAAAAATATAAATTAAACAAAAAATTAAAATTTTTTTAAATAAAATTTAAAAAATATTTTTTAAAGTTTGTGTGAAAATTATAAAGTAAGAATTGATTGACTTTATTAAATAAAATATTTCAACAGTTGTCATTTATTACGCAACAATAATTAAATAAATATATAAGATTATATTTCATATCTTAATAAAAATAGTTATAATTAAACAAAGGAACCGTTAATCTTTTAATTATTAAATATATCACAGAAAGTTTTGAAAAAATAAATAAAAATATTGTGGGTATTTTAAGAATGTTTTGTAAATATTAATAATCTTCTACTAATAATACTTTTTGATGTTTTTTAATTAAATAAAATTAATTTTAAAAATTTTTATTAATTTAAATTTATTAAATAAATTAATCAATTAAAAGAAAACTTGAAAATTCAATAATTTTAATAAATTTTATATAAAATCACCTGGTTAAGAATTGCCTGACAAAGAAGTGAATGGTAAACAAAGAAAAATTAAGAGACTAATTGCCAATTAAGATTAAAAATTATAAATACAGACTACAAGGCTAATTTAAAGTCTGTATTTTAAATGGCTTTATTTTAAATGGCTTCATTCAACATAAATAAATTTATAAAAATTAATTTAAAATATTATTTTTAATTAAATAATTTAAGTTTTCTCGCCTCTTTTTAAATTAAACTTAATTTCAGAGATGAGGCTTTTAAGCCAACAGATTCTTATTTTTACTAAAATTTCCATTCTCTTCTTAATTCAATTCCGAAAAGGTTTTATTTTAATTATATCACTAGAAACTCGGTATTTGGTTAATTTTCAAGAATCAAAAATAGGTTCAAAAAAGTTCAAAATAAATTTCAGGCCCGAAAAAGTCCAATTAAGCTTATAGGCTTTAACAACTCTAAAAACTGTGTTTTTTATTTAACTTTTTATGAATTCTCAAAAACCTGAATTTCAAGTCTCTAATAATTAAATTATTTATTTTAAAGTTTTCCCAACAAATGAAAAGTCCATTTCGGGAGAGGATATTTTACAAATGGCACAGTGCTATGTCGATGCCGACTATCAAAAAGCTAAAATTCCAGGTAAACTAATATTCGAAATTTAATAATTAAAAATAATTTTAGGTGATGGAATAACCGAAATGGAAGAAGTTTTGGGGCCCCATTATACTTTTGGTAATTACATCAATGGATGTATTAAAATTGTATGTTTGGTAAATAAAATAGAAACCCCTCTTTATTCTTTCCTCCTTTGACTATTACAAATATAGTTTTAAATAATAAATTTCTAATAAATTCGTAATTATCTTAAAATATAGTTTAGAAAAATGATCGTAATTAAATATAAATTTAAAATAATTATGCTTATATTTTAGAAAGAATTGCTTAAAAATATCTTTGCCTCTTCGGGTCTAGATAAATGGATTGTTGAAATGAAAAAAGAATTAAAAGAAGAATATGAAAGCAAAATTAGAAGTTTTGCCAAAATTGGGATTAGTGAAAGAATTGATATTTCTGAATTTGATAGTGAAAATGAAGCAAAATTTAATTATTGGAAACAAAATTCAGAGGAGAGATTAAAAGAAATTTTTGTTGAAAGAAATTATTTGGAATTTAAAAAATGGTTAGAAGGAAAAACAAAAAAAGAAAATAAAAAATTTGAAAGAATTAATGAATCTGATAGTAAAAGTAGTGAAGATGAGAGTAAAGAATTAAAAGATACTGAAACAGAAAAAGTATTTAGCAATTCAAATGAAAATTTAAAAATTATTTTTGTTAAAGAAAATTTGGAGAAATATAATTTTTGGTTAAAAAATTTGGAAAAAAATCCAGAAACTTTAAAAAAGATTTATATAAAAGAAATTGAATTGGCTTTTAATTATTGGCGTAGAAGAACTAATCATTTTGGAATATTTTTGAAAGCAGCATATCTTAAATTTGCTAAAGTTTTCATTGACAAACTTAAGGTGGATAATAATAATTATTATTTTTATTTTTGTTTAAAATACGCGAAAAATAATTTTTAATAAGTGCCGGGTATTGGAGTTACCCGAGAGTTTATTTAATTATAATTTAAAATATACTAATAAAATTTTTGAACATTCAGAATGCTGTTTCCAACATTCAAAACAAGAAATTGTTTCGTGCTCTAACTTCAATTTCTCATCGAATGAAAATTGAAATTTTTGGCAATATAGCTTTTGGAAAATATTTTTTTAAGAAAGATAAAAGCCATTTTGATTCATTTTATAAAGCACTAAATAAAATGGAAAAATATTTGGAGAAAATTAAAGTAAATATTCAAAAACCTTTCGGTAATATTAAAATTTAGTAAATACTAAAATAAAATTTTTAGTTTATAAAAAGAAAAATGTTCCAAACTTTCCAAAAGTAAATAAAGTTATTTGGGTAGTTCGTCATTCGGAAAGACTTGATAATGATGAGGAAGAGAGAAATAAAGCTGAAGGGGATGCATGCTTCAACTATAAAGGACGTAAATTTATGTTGGACAATAGTCCATTGAGTGATGAAGGGAAATTGAAGGCATCTAGATTAAACAAAGTGTATGTTATAGAAATATTTAAAATTTGTTTAGATCCTAAGGATTGGCGGGACAGCCTGAGGGGTAACTTTTAGTAGGGAAACTTTTAAGAATCCAGAGGTTTCACCCTTTCTTATATTAATTTTTTCTAATTATTAATCATTTAAAGTTTTGCCAATATTCCAATTAAAGAAATTTTTGTATCCCCATATGAACGTACGATTGAGACAGCTCTTTATTTATTGGGATACAACAAAATTGAGAAAGATTCGATAAAAAAGGAAAATAACAAAATAAAAGTTAAAACAATTTCAAAAGAAATTAAAAATAACGATTTAAAAATTAAATTAGAGCCCGGATTTATTGAAAAATTATCACAATGTGGAGCTAATTCGACTGGTTATGAGGAGTGTAAGGAATTGGCAAAACATCATAAAGGATTAAATTGTGAATATAAACCTATTTTTACTAGAGAAAAGGCTGAAAGTTTTAAAGAGGTGAATTAATATATTTTGATTATTGTGAGGGATTGGTAAGGGGGGATACTTGGGATATTAAGGGGGGATGGGGGGATACTTGAGGATTTTTGATTAAAAATAAAATAAAATAAGAGGTAAATAAAAATATTTATTATAGATAGAAAATAGAAGATGGGATATTGCTTGTATTCCTCGATTAAAAGAAGTGTTTACACAGCTTTTGAAGAACAATGCCGGAAAAACTAAATTAATTGAAAAATCTAAAAAGGAGGAAATGAATGAATGGTTATCTCCGGGGGAAGAAAATGCTGGTAAATAAATTATTTAAATAAAATATAATTAAAATGTATTTAGAACATATTGTTATTGTTTCTCATGGAATGGTGATTAGCTCGTTAGAACAAATGATTTCTGGGAGATATACTAATGTGCCGCAGGTTCTATTAAATTATTTTTAAATTTAAAAATATTTAATTTAGGCTTCAATAATGAAAATTGTTGAACTTGAAGAAGAAAAAAAGGATCAGAAAAAACGAGAAAAGTCAAAGTAAGAATTATTTTTAAAAATAATATTTAAATTAATTTATTAACTAAATATTACAATTAAATTATTTTAAAGTGTAAAAACGAGCCTTGACGAGAATGGAAAACTCAAAAATCTTCGAATGATTTTCTCAAATGTTACAACACATTTGAATGAGAAAGGCAGGCTTGGATATTATCTCTATTGAGTAAAAATGTAAAAAATTATTATTTAAATGTTTTAAATTGGGGATAATTCAAACAAAAAATTTTTAGTAATCGAAGAATATATACAAAAAATTATACTTAAATTGTTTAAATCTTTGGTAGGAAAATAATTTTTTGTTTGATATTATCCATAATTTTGTTAAAAGTGTACAAATATTTGTAAATATTAGTTTCACCGGAAGTTCCGGTTCCGAAAAGTTCCAGTGTTTTTTGGTTCTGGTTCCGGGAACCGGAACTCAAATTGGATCCGGTTCCGGTCAAAATTTCGGTTCCGGTGACTAGTAAATATTTAGTTTTTGCAAAACAGAAACATTTCGGCATTTTTTATTCAAAAATGTTTCTGTAGACATGTACAAATATTCTAGTAAGTAATATGTATTATTTTTTTAAATCCATTGACCCTATTTTCATTTGTTCCCCATTTTTACCTTTAAAACTAAATCAATCAAAGAGGAGCAATTTTAGTATAAGAATTGTGGGAAACTTTAATTTCCATTTGTAAATTCTAAATCTTTTAATGAAAAACATTCTACAAAAACAAAAATTAGAAAAAACCAAATTCACTAGAAATATAGAGGGTAACCTCATGAAACAAAATTAAACTTTTTTGATAGATTTAGTTATCACAATTCGATTATATTTTAATTTATGTATTCTACAGTTTATGTAAAAATTTTGTACAAAATTGGCATTTTAAAAATTCATATCAAAAATCCAAAGAGATCATAAGAGATGAGCATGCTCAGGCTTTTTTTATTTTAATTCATTCAATAGTTGTTTAGTATTTTACCGAAACCCCTAATTCCGAGGGTTGGGGTCGTTTTGGCGCCGAGCCGTTTTGGCGCGAGAACAAAAAAGTGGCACTTACTTGTTAGGCGAGACCTAAATTTATAAAATTTTTCTCAAATTTCTTTAACATCCTTGACTACCTCCTCCAGAAATTTCAGAATTTTTCATCCAATATTTCCGAAGTTATAGTCGATAGACCTTGAAAAATTAGGCATTTTGCAGAAAATCAACATTTTTGGCCACAATTTCTGAAATTCTTGATCAAAAATTCTGAAATCTTTGGAGAACCTAGATAAAGGTACGAGAGTTATTATTGCAAAATTTTATCATTTTTGATAACGAACTCGCTATCTTATAAGCTCGCGCCAAAACGGCCCCGCGCCAAAACGGCCCAGTCCCTAATTCCGATAGTGGTTCTTGATCGGGATCCTGATTCTGCTCATGTCTAACTTCAACTTTTTTATTTACTTTTTTAATTTAAATTTGTAAATAGTTTTATTTTGATAGATTTTACTCTATTTTTTATTATTTTTAAATATTTAGGATTATACAAGGGGACATTTTCGAATGGGATATTTTCCGTGGGGACATTCTCAAGCGCGCCCATTTCTTTTTACTTTTTCCTTCCCACCCTTCAATCAATTCAGTGCAAGTCAATTTTTTAAGCCGTACAAAAAAGTAACGATAGAGCTTATTTTTCATTATTTTTAGCTAAAATTAAAAATGAATTCTCTTCCAAATGAAGCAAGACTTGATGTATTAAAATGTCTTAATTTCAACCAATTATTTTCTGTTAAACAAACCAATTTTTACTTTCGCAATTTAATTAATAAATATGAGGGAGAATTGGCACGAATGAAATTCTATAGCCTCTCTATGGTAAATATTTATTTAAAAAACATTCTAAATTTTTAGGCTAATGAAAATAAGTTTTTAAATGGTTATAACATTATTGTTCTTGAATTTGGAGTTTTTGAATTTACTTTGAATGATCAACTTAAGGAGAAGGTTAAATTAATTTCTAAATAAATCACATTTATTTTTTCAGTGGCAGGCAGCTGTAGACAAATCAATTCCACTATTTTTAAATATTAATGAAGATGCAAGACACTTTTTCTGTCTTAAAAAGACAAAGTACAGTTCAACGAGACGTTATCTTCTAACATTGCCAAGATTTCCAAAAAATATTGAAGAAATGATTATTGTTCGATGTTGGTTAGAACATTTATTTAATTGTGCTTTTGAGCTTGCTTATTTTTCTACAAGTGTATTTAACCCACAAATGATTAATATATTATTCGATAACGACAAAACAATTCCACTTCAATTTAACACACAAACAACAGTTCTAGGTAATTCTGAGCCTCCCACCCCCTTTCGTTTTTTCATTCCCAAAGATTTAACATAATGGTTAGATTTTTTTCTTCCTCTCCGTCCTCTATTTTCCTTGTGGCATATTCAAACAAGAGAATATGCCACAAGACGGACCTAGGTACTTGGACCTGCCCTATATTTTCTGGTATCATGTTTCAGTTTCTATCCTTGTTATCGTACTGAATAAAATTGTAAATTACTCTCGTTACACTGTTAAATATGCCACAGGGAAAATAGATGACGGAGAGGAAGAAGAAAATCTGACCATTATGTACAATCTTAGGGAAGGAAAAAACGAAAGGGGGGGGGGGAGACGAATCTCGAAATTATTTAGATTTTGATGTGGACAAAAAATTATTTGAAAATATTTTGAAATTTTCTTTAAATCATTTATTGGTTTCTGGATCTCTTAACATCAGTTTTATTGATGGTAACTTTACAGAACAACAAACAAATATTTTATTCAATATTTTAATAAATGAAGGGGATAAATTCCCAAAAATTTATTTTACCTGTCCTATGTTATCAAAGCTTTATGATCTTATTACAGAAGTAATTTATCTAAAAATACAAAGCTAAAAATAAATTTAAATTTTAGTATATAGCAACATCAAGAGACTTTTCAAAAATTGTGCACGTCATTGGTTTATACTCAGTTTGCACAACTTTTAAATTAAGCGAAAGAGCAGAGAATGTTGAAATTAAACAAGGAAGTGAAGTTAAATATACAAAATACCAAATTGCCAACATTTACAATCCAAAAGTAAAATTTTCATTTTACACTAAAGACTGGACTGATTCAATTAGTATTAGAATCAGAAAAATGAAAGAGTAGAATTTAACAGGATAAAAATAAAACTTTATTTAAAAATTATTGTTTTTCATTGACTTTTGATTAAATTATTTTTGTTTTATAGAATTTATTTGCATCATTTTTCAATAGGTTAAAGCCTGCTAATTTATTTTTAAATATTTAAAACACATTTTAATAACACAGTTTGGACTCACTTTAGTTTACACCCTTGAGGTTAAAAAGTTGTATCTTCTACAACTTTGTACTAGTATTGTACCCCGTCCCCGAAAGTCGGGGAATTTGGGTAATTTTTTTTTAAATTCCCCGTCCCCCCCCCCCGTGGCGCTGCCTCCCCGAAAATTTTCCCCGTGGCCCTCCCCCCCCCCGTCGGGGAACAACCCTACTTTGTACTAACCATTATCAAAAATAATAACAAAATTTGTTTATAATTCCCCCCCCCCGTCAGTTTTCTACTTGATGAACTAACAATAAGTAATCTATCGATGTTTGTGGGGCTTAAGAATGATTCTAATGACAGCAGTTCTTGATCGGGATCCTGATTCTGCTCATGTCTAGCTTCAACCTTTTTATTTATTTTTTAAAATTTAAATTTTTAAATAGATTTTATTTTGATAAAGATTTTATTCAATCCTAAAATTAATATTTTGTATTTTTAATAATATTTGCTAGATAAAAATAAAATTCAAAGAAATTTATTTTCAACAGTTTTTAAAATATAAAAATAAAAAAAATATTAAAATTATTTTTCAATTTAATTTAAAAACAATCTGGCCATTCAAAATTAATTTTTTCAATAATTTTTATTGTAGAGTTAGAGTTTGATCGTAAAAGAAATATTTGAGCATTTTTATTATTTTCTTCATTTTTTCGAAATTTAATTAAAGTAAATCTAAAATAAAATAAAAATTAATTTAAATTAATTATTATTTACCTATTATTTGGCACAGAACCAACAAAAATATGAGGGACTTTTTGACCATTAATACATTGATAATTAACCAAATGATTTTGGTGTAGATCAGGGCTGTGCGTCATGGCGTTTGGCGTTTTGCGTTTTGGCGTTAATTTTGGCCGATTTTTGGCGTTTTGCGTTTGGCGTGATTTTCCGATTTTGGCGCGCCAAACGCCAAAAATATACACCCCTAATGATGGAATTTTTTTAAATAAATGGAGAAAGGGATGATCGAAAAAGGAAATTTTTCTGCGTACAGTCATCCAAAATTCTCAAAATTTTTGCCTGCGGCGCATAAAAAATGAAGAAATCTACTGCTTGGACTTCCAAAATTTTAAAAATTTTCGCCTGCGGCGCTTAAAGGAGGAAGCCCTTATCTTAAACTAATAGATGGTAGAAAAAAAACTTTAGTCCCGTCAATCGTTTACTCTCTTCATGACCTCTGTTATACTCATTACTCCCTTTATCCCTTCATATCCACCTTAATCTCAAGGAGTTCTATAAATTTCTTATTTTTTAAAATTTTTTAAAGGATGAATTTCGGCTTCTTTGCCTCCAAAATTCTCAAAAATTTCGTTCCGGCGGTAAAAAAGGATGAATTCTGGCTTCTGGGAATCTTGAAAATTAAAAAAATTTCGCCTGCGGCGCTAAAATGAGATGAACAGTGGTTTTTATGTCTTTATAGACTCTAAAAATTTTGGCGTTTGGCGTTTGGCGTTTGGCGTTTTGGCGTTGATTTTGGCCGATTTTTGGCGTTTGGCGTTTGGCGTGTTTTTAAAATTTAAAAAATTGGCGTTTGGCGTTTGGCGCGCCACGCGAAAATTTTGGCGCACAGCCCTGGTGTAGATGTGCAAAAAGTATTATAAAAAGTAAACGAATTTCTTTGTATTTTTTAAAGTTGTTCCTAAAAAGATAATTTTGGATTGAGAGATTTTTTTGAGAGATGTTTTTGATTTTTGAGAAATTTTACAGAAGAAAATGTTTAACTTTTTAAAAAGTAAAGGGAATTATCAACGATATTTTGAGCATCAGATTATTTATTTTTATAACATAAATTTAAAATATTATTGCCACTAATACAGGGACACAATTTTAAGAGTTTGAGAGATTTAACATCATTCTCCTCAAAATAAACACGGGAGATCTCCTCTAAATAAATAATTATCTTTCCCCAAAACCTACCAATTTTCCAATGTTCTTTTCAATCTTTCAGCCACTTTATCGCTATGATTATGTAAATTAATAAGAACAACTCCAGATGTTTGTCCATTATTTTTCAATAATTCAGTTATTTTATCTAATTCAACACCCAACCAATGAAAAGAGCCTCGTATTTGCCAATGACCATAAGGAAATTTAATTAATGTTGCATAATCAGGTCTGTTATGCAATTGAATGGAGTAAAGACAAAAATCTTTGAAAAATTAAATTAGCTAGAATAACAGTAATTATTTGTTTTTTATTCCCTTATCAATTAATTTCCAAAAATATTTATTTTTTATAGTTTAGTCAGTAAAAATTATCAATATCTTTTTTAAAGTTTTTCAATTTAAAAAATTAATTTACCAGAATTAGACCCATTATCTAATTTTGAACATATCTTTGCTGTGTAAGCAAGACTTCCCTCATATTCAGATCTCCAAAGCTCAGACTTTTTCTCCAAATCAAATTCTCCAAAAAAATTAGTCATTGTAGGAACATATTCCTCACTAAACCAACGAAGCATTCTGTTAGCACAATTATTCCCTATACAATCATCAACATTATTTTCATAATCATGATTCCCTAATCCAATTAATAAAGGAATAGGGATTGTTTGTAACCATTCAATCTAAATTTTATATTTTGAGAATATTTCTCGAAAAATAGAAAAAAACTTTAAAAAGTTCTAATTGAAAGGAATGTCCAAAATTAGTTAAATCTCCATTAATAATTAATGCTGAAGGTTTTTGTCCATTTCTTTCAAGTATTCGGATAAGCCTATAAATAGCTTTTCGTTGTATTTCATTGGCAAAAGAAGATTCAATAAATACACAATTGGGTGGAGGGAAGGATAAATCACTTTGTTTTGTTGTTGATTCATAAACAAAGTCGTTAGTGGGCTGCTGATAAAATTTTTAATAATTAAAATATAATTTTTAAATTTGTTAATTGTCTTATAAATATGTCAGTAATAATCGTTCAGAAGAAATCAACGTGAGAGACTACAATACTTCAAAAAATATTTTAACCTGCGTAACTCATTTGTAGAAAATTTTTTAGGCTTGTTTGAAAGGCCAAAAAATCTGCTAAAAAATAAAGGAGGTTTAGATTTTAGAAAGAAGGAACTGAAGGAAATAAAGCTCCAGGAATTAGGATTCTATTAAAAAATAAATTAATTTTTACTAATTTATTTTCTGTTTGTGCAGAACAATTTTTACTCCTTTCCTTGCATTGCTGATTGATTGAAACGCAAGGAAAGTGGTATTGAGTGTCACCGGTAAAAAGTAAAGTAATTTCTTTAGAAGAATTAAATGGACTAATATTTTTTAATAAATTTTCTGCCAAATCTTTAGGGTAAATAAATGTTGATGTTGTATTTAGTATAACTGGAGAGAATAAAAATTAATTAATTAATTAAAAATTTATTTACATTTTAATAGTAAAAACAAATAATAAATTGTAATTTTCATCATAAATTTAGAAAAATAAACTAATGCATTTCTTTAAAAAATTAAATTTAATTAAAAATTAAATAAAGAAAATATTTTTAATTACCTACAATATTTTTAAAAGAAAATATTTTTAATTACCTACAAAATTAATTTATTTTAAATATATTTCTTATCAGTAGACAAACTCACAAAAGTTTAGAAAAATTTAATTATATAATACAAATATAGAAAAACAAATTTTGAATGTAAAAATAATTTAAAATTATTTACAAAATATTTTTATTTTAAATTATAAATTGTAAATTTTATGTTTTTTTTTCCATTTTCCTTTTTAATATTACTTTTAAAGGATATATAATTTAATTTATTTTTAGAGAAGGGGAAGGAAATGGCTTTTACATACTTTAAAAAGCATATTCAAAAGAAAATAGAAATTTGGCGGAAAAAAGTTTGTGGATGTTGTTTGTTTGTGTGGACTTGAAAAAGGAAAATATTTAAATATATTTAGTAGTTAAAATTGAATTTTTTTGGATTAATTTTTAAAATAATGCCAAAAATTATTTATTTAATTATTTTATTTTCTATAATTCTAAAAATTACACTTAATAAACAATTGGATGAATATGATTTTGGATGTATTAAATTATTTGTTAATCCAAATTCTGCTACTTTAGAAGAGAAGGTTTAGATTAAATTTAATAAGATTTTTATATTTTCATCGAGTATATTGAGGAAATACCTAACATAATTACCCCCTACCCTCCTCAAATATGGTAATTATTTGAAGGGTAATTATTCTCTATTAATCTCCCAACTCCATATATGTATTAATTACCCCCTCGAGCGAGAGATTGAAACAATAATTACTCGGTAATTATTTTGAATAGTTTTAACGGTATGTAGTTTTAATTAGATCCCGGCTCGATACGATATTTTTCAATACGACCGACCCCTCCGGCCAAGCTCTAGTTTTAACTAAGGTTGTCGGATAGTTGGAAATCTTCGGATATCCGGATCCGGATCCGGTATCCGAACCGAAAATTTCGGATATCCGGATCCGGATCCGATATCCGAACCGAAAATTTCGGATATCCGGATCCGGAACCGATATCCGAACCGAAAATTTCGGATATCCGGATCCGGAACCGAAATTTTTATTTTCAAAATTTTCGCCTGCGGCGCTGTAAAGTTGAGTCCCTATGGATGATATAGAGGGATTAAGATCAATTATAAATGGATTTGGGGAATTAACAGAGGTATTGAGGCAATTTAGGATTAACAAAGTTATCGATGTGAGTAATGAGTTATTTGGGGGATTAATAGACACATCGGGTATTTTCTTACATTTAAGATTGGTGGATTAAGGGCTGAGGGTTGGGAATTACGAGAGATATTGAGGGATTTATTGATTAATCCCCTATATCCCCTCTAATCCCAATATCCTTCAAGGGCGTATCCAGGGGTTAGCTTTGGGGGGCATGTGAGTTTTTACAACTGTTTACAACTCTTTCACTTTTAGCGCCGCAGGCGTAAACTTTGGGAATTTTGGAGGTCCTTAAGCTAGATTTCTTCCATTTTCTGCGCCGCAGGCGAAAATTTTGAGAATTTTGAAGGTCCTTAAGCCAGATTTCTTCCAATTTTCAGCGCCGCAGGCGAAAATTTTGGGAATTTTGGAAGGCCAATGGGTAAGATTTCACCCTTTTTTCCGAATTCTAGGATCCGAACCGAAATTTTCGGATATCCGGATCCGGATCCGATATCCGAACCGAAAATTTCGGATATCCGGATCCGGATCCGATATCCGAACCGAAAATTTCGGATATCCGGATCCGGATCCGGTATCCGAACCGAAAATTTCCGGATATCCGGCCTTTTTTCGGATCCGGATATCCGGATCCGACAACCTTAGTTTTAACAAAATTAAAAAATATAATCAGATTATTAATTATTATTTTATTACTAAATTATTTTAACAGATGACTTTAGCCTCAAATAATCAAACAAAATTGAGGAGAATAATGGTTATTAGAAAAAATGGTTACGGATTTATTTCTTCAACTGGGTAATTCCGAAGATTTTTTTGATAAAATTTAATTCCAAAAAAATTAATTTTTAAGTTATCCAAAAGATGGCTATGAGCGTGTGAAATGCGCAGTTAATTTAGAAGCACAAGAAGGAAGTGGATTAGTTATTAATATAAAATTTTTGGATTTGGATTTAGAACCTAGATATTCTCGTTCGGATCAGTGTTTACGTGATTATTTTATTTTGACATTTATTGGTTTGTTTGATTAAAATATGAAGAAAATTAAAAATAAATAAAATTATTTGGAAGGATTTGGGAGGAGATCTAAAATTCTAAATAAAAATATTGAAGATTAAATAATTCTTTTAAACATTTTTAAATTAAATTTAAAGATAGAGAAGGATTAGAACATACAAGTGAAAGAATTTGTGGAAATAAAAAACCAAAGTCTATACAAAGTATGCAGGCAAAATTAAGAGTTTTATTTATTGCAACATCCCCACCTTTACAACATTATTTACCAAATACAAATACTTCAAAACGTTGGAAAGGATTTAAATTACGTTTTGATTTTGTAAAAGAAGGTTTAGAAAAATTAATTTTAAATATTTAAATAAATAATTTAGAGAAAATTTCTGTAATAAACAGTCAATATGAAGAACCAAATAAAAGATATCGTTCAGATTGTGGAGGTGCAAATTTAGTAATATTTTATAATTACTAAATATTTTCTAGTAATCTCTTAGATAATAGACAAGGTTAAAAATAAAAAGGGGGCCAGTATAGACCAAAAATTTAAATTTAACGTAAAAATTTTAATAAATATTTCAGCCAAATTCTTTAAGTGGAATTATTCAATCACCTGGATTCCCGTAAGTTGTATACAAAACTTTTACAAAATAATTTAAAATTAATATAAGGTCTACATATCCTCAAAATGTTAATTGCTTTTGGCTTATTCGAGTTGATCCAAATAAAAGAATTTATATTAGAATAATGGATTTGGAATTATCACCGACATTGGGTAAACATTAGGGTTTCACCGGAACCGAAATTTTGACCGGAACCGGAACCAATTTGAGTTCCGGTTCCCGGAACCGGAACCGGAACTTCCGGTGAAACCCTAGTAAACATATATTGCAATAAATGGTTAAATTAGGAACTCTTCTTGGAAATAAACACTTGGAGATGAACCAACGTTATCTTATAAATGTGTAATATTAAATAGGGTTTATGTTAAGTGAACAAAAAGTTTATTAGTGTTTAATATATTAATTATAAGGTGAAGAAATATCAATTTTGTAATAAAATGTGTTTTAAATAAAATATCTGACAACTTACAAATGTGTAAAATTTTTTCACTAAAATATACCAAAATACAAAACATTTAGGCCGTAATTTGTATCTGCAACAGAGAGTTAAATTAGGGGATTTGAGGAGAAAATAGTATTTAATAAATAACGATTATGTATCTTAAAGTGTATTTACAATGAAGGGTATCGCCTGACAGCTTCCCCCGATGGCCAACTAAACTTTTAAAATTTTATTTAAAGATTATGAACGTGCTTTTCTTTCAATAATAGATGGATATAGTTTTGGAATTTCTTCTGAAGAAATAAATCAAAAAATTAATGAAGATTATCAAAAATCCTCCAATAATATATTAAATTTTGGTTCGCCAAGAAGAGATACTACAAGTATTTCATTTTATGGAAATAAATCATATTATACAGAAGAAGGGTCGTTATCTTACCTTTCCGAAAGTAACAGAGTAATTATTCAATTTATGACAACTGATGGACCAACACAAATTCAATTAGCTGAATATAAGAGAAATTATAGTCCGATTGGTTTCCGCCTTCTTTGGACAGAGGTTTTTAATTTTAAGCTGTAATCCAGAAACAATGTGTTTGTTTTTTATAAAGAAAATTTTAAAACTAAACAGAAATGCCCAAGAAAAGAGTTTTTATTTCTTTTTGGGATTCTCAGCAAACAAATAATTTTAGGTCCATTCATTGATAGCAACTTCAAGTGATTTCCCTACGGATATTGAGAACTCTGTCAGTCAAGATGCCGAAGAAAACTTTGATGTTATAACGAGTGATCTTTGTCCAGGATTTGTTTGTCTTGGGGGATATTTTTGTTTAGACAGTCAAAATAGTGTTTGTGTTGAACGTAACAGACTTTGTATTAACGAAACATTACGTTGTGATGGAATCTCGAATTGTGCTGAGAACGACGATAGTGATGAGGAATATTGTTAGATATAAATAATTTTAAATAAAAATAATAATTATTTAGGTTATTCAAAAAATCCTTTTTCAATGTCGGCATTAGCTTTTTTAATAATTATTTTAATTGTGCTTCTACTTTTAATTAGTACTTGCTGTATTATTAAAAGTTTTGGAAATTCTAAAAATGAAAGAAAAATAATAAAAAAATTGGAGGATAAGGAAAATAAAGAATTTCCATCTACAGAAGTTTTTCACAAAGAAGAGAATGGGGAAATGATAACTGAACGATTTAAAGGTTTTAACAAATAAAGATTTAAAAAAATAATTCAAAACTCCTTTCAGACAACACAAAAATTCAACGTAATACGGAAGCAATTCCTTCTGTTTCCTCTATCGTTAATATCCAAACAAATATAATTCCAGCAACACCCCCAATTATTCAAGAATGGAATCAACAAAATAATACATGGCACAACACAAAAACAACAAAAAATGGGTAAAATAATTTTTAAAAAATTATTTTCAAAAATATTTCTCAAAGGATAATCAACAATAGACAAAACTATATTAACGAGAATGAACAAGAAATTCTTCGTTTACAACCTTGCCTTTGTCCAAAACCTTTAGAAAATATTTGTAAAGAACTAAATGAAGAGGATTTTAAATTTCAAAAAGTTAAAAATAAAAGTGAAGATAATTATGAGGAGGAGGAAAATAAATGGAGTAATGGAAGTACAAGTATATGGGAACAACGTAAATCATTTGTTGCAGAAATGGCTGAAGTTAATGAAGATATTTAATTTAAAATTAAAGATTTAATTTACTCGGTTAATTGTCTAGGTTAATTATTATATTTCAACCTCTAGCTAGAGAGGGTAACTATCCGAGGAAGAGCTATTAATAAAATATGCGATAAGTAGATGGTTTTTTTTATTATTTTCGCTTTTGTTAATGATCGGATAAAACTAGGTGTAAGAAAAAAATTGTATTTGCTTGTATGGGACGATAAATTTAAATATCAAGACAAATCCCTTGTAAAAACTAGCCAAATTTAAATATTACACAAGAAATATGTTTATTTTAAAAATATATAAAAAATATATAAAATTTAAAAATCTAAAAAGATCATCATAATTAAACATGCCCCATACAGATAGGTTCACTAATATTCATCATATCAAATAACTTTGTTATAGCTGCATTTTCTTGCATCATTTTAACAACATTCTGTTATTTATTTTAATTTTAAATTTTATTGAAATTTACCTCAATTTTAGGAACCAATAAAAATAAATTTGCTCTAAAATTAAAAAAATTATAAATTTAAATATAGGTATATACATTCTAACAGATATTCCCTCTTCATTTAAACCAATTTCACGATAATATTTATGTAAATCAACAATTATCTCGTTACGAACTTGCATTGCTTTACTTAAACTTTGCTCAGAAATGTCGATTGCTTAAATTTTTAATTTAAAATAATTTTTTAATTTTAAATATTTATAAAATAATAGGGATCGGATTAGTACTTAGTTTAGAAGTATTTACAAACCGACTATCGGACTTATGTTATTATCAGTCTTGGACTGAGTGGGATTAACAAAATAAGATTTTTACTTTTCCATAGATTGATATATTTGTAATATATTTTTTGATAAATTTTTTTATTTCTTGGATCCCACGTGCTATAATAACCCCGAATTAAATTTCTATCAAGAATAAATTTAAAAGTACAGACAATCAGTCCAAAGAAACATTCCCATTAATGCAACCATTTCTTCCTCTTGCATTGCAATATTACGCATATGTGGGACAACATTGGCAATTAAATATTGAATTGCATTATGGAATACTCTTAAATATATCTAGTATATTAAATATAAATTTAATATATAAAACCTTGCAATTTGCTCAGGTTCACTAGTTACTTGTTTACTATCTTTGAAAAAAAGATGAAATTCACTTAAACTGACATAACCCTTTAAATTAAATATTTAAATAAATAAATTTATTTAATTGTTTATAAATTTAGTCAGAAAATTAAATTGAGAAAATTTCCTAAAATTAATAATTCATTTATAAATACCCCATCAGGCATAATAAGCAGATCTTCACCTGGCCCAAACCTTAAATATGTTTGAAAAGCCCGTTCAGCATTACAAAACATTTGTCCATAATAATGAGTTAATTTTAACTAAAGAGAAAAAAATTGAATTTTTTATTTTATACGTTCGGCATTACAAAAAATTAAAATATTTTTTTTAATATAAAATAATCCACTACTATTATAATTATATTAGGAGTGTTTTCCCGGTTCAGCTATTCCAATTCCCAAACCGAGATTGCGATTATTAACTTTAATAAACTTATTCACTGTTTCGGTAGAAACAAAAAAATGTTAGAGAGAATTAACTACACATTGATTATAAATGGATACATATTATTATTTGAAAGGATACATATTATTATTTTATTATATTATTATTGGATATTATTATATTATTATTTTGACATGTTATCATTATGAATTCCTGGCAACTCACACAATAAAATTGTTACGGAAATTTCTATGTATTCTGGAACTCGAAAAACACCTTATTTTATTATATAATTTATTTTTAACTACTTTATCAGCTGCTGGAACTTCATTAAATGGATAGAAAAAACGTTCAAGAATATCATGCATAATAGATATCTGTAAAATAATTAATTAATTTAAATTAAAAACAAAAATTTCCTTTACATTTATTTTACATATTTTCATATAAGTATCAATATGACTTCTCGGTAATTCACCCCCAGAAAGTGCAGATAAAGAAAAAACTCCAATCATTGCTTGACCGGCTTTACGTAATGATTTAAATTGTTGATATCCTTCCATCATTCTATGGAGATGAGTATATTGAGGAGATTGGTGGTTAATAAAATTGTCTTTAAAATAAGCAGGGATTTAAAGGAATATTTTATTTTTTTTATATCCTATGACAGAACAAAAAAAAAGTAAATTATTTATTTATGTTCTTGTGTTAGACCAAAAAATACAGTAAAACTAGGGTAATTTTGAAGGGAGTTTAAAATTGAGTTTTTTGTTTCAAAAAATTTTTTTAAATTTAATATTTTCTCTAATAATACTTTTTTAAATTTTAAATCTCCCTTTTAATCCACCTTTATATTTTTGTTGTTCAATACCAGAAACAAATCTTTTATTCCCAATTCCACTCTCAGATGGGAGAAGAGGCAAAGAATTCATTTGATTACTATTTGTTTGATCGTACTGATTTTGAACAGAAGATGTAAGCATTCCTTCACGTAAACATTTTTCATAACGACATGAACGACACATATTTCTTGCTCCTTTAAAGAAATATAAATTGAACTATTGAGTGGAAACTAGTCCCAAAAACAGTAAAACTAGGGTAATTTAGAAAGGAGTAAAAAGCAGAAAAATATCATTTTTATCAAACAGCATTTTTAATAGAGATGATTTTGATTAATCGTTAGAAGTTGGGCGTTCGGGGTTTATCCACATGGATATCAGAATACTATCTGTATCCGTTTTAATTTAATATTTATTTCCAGCTATGTAAAGTATTTCAAACCTCTATCAATTGAGCAATTTCCATCTCTCTTAAATATAATGTTAAATTTAAAAAATTAAAGTTTATTTATAATTAATTATTTAATAATTACACCCTCTAAATAAGTAGCCTCATCCCCTCTCCCAACGAGAATATAAAAATACCTAGGTTATCTTAATTAAGATAAATTTACGTGGAGATTCTTATAAAAACCTTAAAAAGTCAAAAATAGACTCGGCCCCAAAACAGTAAAAATACGAAAAGTTTCAAGTCAAAACAAAAAGTCTTGGACGTCTCTATAGTAATTAGAGCTCTTTGTTTTTACATAAATTACTTAGAATTAACTGTATAGAATTAATAATTCTAATTTTATTTAATAATTACAACAAATTCTAAAACATACTTTACAAATATATTTAAGTCGTTGACTCACAGTTCGTCTTAAATATTAAAATTTAAAAAAATGTTAATAACACATAAAAGTATGGGCGTTTGATAAAATTTAGTGGATCTAATACTTTATAATCATTTAAAGTTTGAGAGGGTTCTCTATTAAAATACCAACAAATTCTCCATTAATTTAAAATTTCGAGTAAGAATATTTTAATTTAAATTTATTTTTAACCTAAAAAAAGCAGCACAAGCTCTACATGAAGATTTACCAAAATGTAACCCTAATAAATAATTTTATTAATAAAAAATTCCAAAATTAACAAAATTAACCATCACTTTCATCCCCACAAACAACACAAATTCTTTGTTCTTTTATATTTATTTTTTCATCAATATTTGTTGTTTGCATTATTTAAATTTAATTTTTAATTGAAAATTTTTGGTGATAAAAAATTTATTTTTGACACACAAAATCTTCGATAAAAAAATTTTTTGAAGGACAAGGGACCAAAATAAATGTTTAATTTTGTATTTTGTGTTAACAATTTGTGATTAATTTTAATGTTTAAATAAATTATAGTTTATAAATTTTAAATAAGACCTTTATACTCTCGACTTAACTAAAATTTTTTTTATTTAATTGAAAGACTAGAGGAAGGTTTTTATTGATTTTTATTTGATTGAATGACGTTTACTTTTTAATATTGAAGAAAAAGGGAGTGAAATAAATGTATATTTTACATAAAATAAAGACAATTTAATTTAGAAAAAATAATTTAAAGAAAAATTAATTAAATTTAAGAAATTTTTTTAAAATTCTTGTTAATTCGTAATAAAGAATATTAAATTTAGTCGAAAAAATCACAAGCCAATGGAATATTTTTGAATTATTCTATTCTTATTTTCGAAGTCTCAGAGCTTTTTAAACAAAATACCAAAATTGTTTTAAGAGATAATGTTTGGAAGAAAGGGTATTATTAAAAAAAGGGCATAGTATTATTAAGCAAAAGTTTAGACAGGGCCAGTATTCGAACCTGCGACTTTCTAGCAGATAATATAATCAGAACTTCTGTCAATATTTAGCATCACTTGTCAAAAATCTTTTTGTCTTTTTCCAGCATTGGATATAGAAACTAGAGTCGGCAAGGTGTTTTTCTAGAATGAGTATCGGTCCATTCTCGAAACATCTCGGAAATTCTAAATCGAGATACCGATTGACAATTTAAAAAATATTGCGATATCTCGAAAAATTTCGCGAGATTATTGTTTTTTTCCGAATATTACTAAATTTCTTCTTATTTTCATTGGAAATTCCTCAACAAGTCAAGAAGGCAAATCTCACAGATTTCTAATTACTTAATCTAAAAGCAAATTTTATTACGAGAGAAATAATTAGAATTAAACTTTAATTTTAAATATTTTATTAAACAAAATATGATTTTCTTTTAATTTATTTACTGACTGGAGTAATCTTCATTTCTTTTTGATTATTAACAATTACTACATTTATCGTCGAGACACCCGATTTATTTAATTTTAATAATTTTTTAACATCATTAAATGCTCGTTTAAATGCAATTCTATATTCACCACTGAAATAATAAATTATATATTTAAATTGAAAATTATTTAGTTATCGATATCGAATTTTGGAAATTAATTTTGCCTAACATTGGGCAATCAAAAGCATTTTTAAGAAAAATTTTTTTGATTAAATTACCTATTAAAATAAAGAATAGGGCCGATAGAAGCAGCAGCAATATTGAGGAAAATAGCAAAAATATTATTAAAAATCCAGATATTTACAGGTGTTAATTGAACAATAGATAATAAAAGGAAAGCAACAAACAAATTACAAATAAAATATCCCCCAATATTAACCAAAACAATTAAAAATAAAGATAAATACATTTTTTTAATTCTTTCATCTTTTACTTCTATTAAATAAAATAATTTTTTTAATTAAAGAAATTTCTCTAATTTTCAATACCTGTTTTAAATTTAATTAAAATTCCAACAATTAAATAAACAATAGTTGCAGTAAACATTATACAAACATCAGAATAATATATTATATTCATAATAAATAATGGGGGAGTAAATAAATCACCTAAACCACCAGAAATCATCCAATTTGGTGTTGATATTTTAGCCATATTCATAATAAACATTCCATAAATTATGTGAAGTAAAATAATTAAAACGTGTAATGAGATGTAATAAAATTGTTTTAGGTTGCGGTAACTTTAAATTTAAAAATAATTTTTTATTGTTAAGTGAGATCTGATACGAGATATTGTTTAAAAGATTTATAATTTTCCAAAAAATAATAAAATTTACAATGTCAGGTTTGAGGACGATATGATAAATATTTTTTATTATTGGGCCTAATATAATTGTTGGGGAAAATGTTCGATCCCTTTTAGAGGTAGAATTTCGGTACTTGTCAGTTACCTTAGACTATTTTAGTAAGCAAAGCTCTGCGCAGAGATTTGCCTTCTAAAATGTGTCTAGAATAATCTACATATACCGAATTTCATTCCCTTTTGTAAATTATATTTTTAAATTAATAATATACAAACGTTATAGGTATAATAACAGCTAATAATCTATCAACACTAAGTGAAACAAGCATAAAAACAGTTCCAAAGAATCCAAAAAGGGAAGGAGTATGAATTAAAATTGCTTGTTTGTATGGAATAAAATCCATTCCAAAGAAGATAATTTTAATTAAAAATATTAAATGGCCGCTTTGATGGAATATTTCAAAGAATGAAGCTAAAGCAAGTAAAAAGCCAGTATTACATTTTAGTGTTAAATAATACTTTCTTAAAAATGATTAATAAATTAATAAATTGTGTATATATATTTTTATTTATTTTTTCATATTTAACATCTTTATTAGACTTTATTTTAAATTCTTGACTCTGTAAGTCTTTAATTAATTATACCACATTGGCTTCCCTATTAATTCAGTGAGTAGTTGACAATTATTAAACCGATAGGGTACTTCCAGTAAATCTGAAATGTCGAGACCGTGACTATACCTTTAATATCAATACCGAAAAACATCAAGAAAAGCCTTAATTTCAAGACATTCTTGCCCATCTCTATATTTTCTAATGCAACTTTAATTTTTATGATGTGACTAATAATTTAAAATTGTGTTTACAAAATTAGAAAAAAATTTTTTTCAGTAGGATTTATCTTCGAAATTAAGCTAGATCTATTATTTTTATCGTAATTAAACACAAAATTTAATATTTAATTTACCTATATTTTGCAGTAACTATACATACACTCAAATTAAAAATAATACCAATAAAACCAATCCCTGCGAAGATCCAAGCAGATAAATACAAACATAATTGATAATATTTATTTTTGCCATATTCAATAAATAGCTTTTAATTATTTTTATTTAAATATTTGTAAAATAATTTACTTACAGGATTAACTGGTTCTGTTAAATTAATTGTTGAATTCATTTAATTTTTATTTAGAAGATAAATTATTTTTAAATGTTTTTAATAATTAAATAAAACTTTATTTCTAAAATAAAATATTTATTTTTAAAAATAAATTTAAAATTTTTTTTGTTAATCTAAATAAATTGAAATTGAGATTTTATCTTATAAGTTTTTAGTTCAAGTTTTCATTTTAAAAACTCAATTTAAAAATATAAAAGTGTTTTATAAAATGAATATTTAATAATTTTAAATACTCTATTAAATGTTTATTTTTAGTTTTTAATTAAAGTTGCCTAATTATTGGTGCGAAAATTTATAATAATAAGTACTCTTAAATAATGGTTTAGAGAGCAGTATTAAATTTGTCCTTTTGTATTTATTTTAATTTGTGTTAATTAACAATAATTACCTACTTAAGTGCATAACTTTTAAAAAATTCGAAA